ATACCAGGGTTATCGATACCTGGTTTTGATTTCTATTTTAATTCCTTTGCGGTCAGAGAATACAGTGTGTGCCTTGAATCCTTTTTAATTTATTGAGGTTTGCATTATACCCAGAATACAATCTCTGTTGGCAAATGTTCTGTGTGCCCTTGAGAAGAATGTGTATTTGGCTGTAGATGGGTGGAATGTTCTGTAAACGTCAGTCAGGTCTGGGACTGGTGTTCAAGTTTTCTGACTGATTTTCTACCCGCTTGATCTATCAATTATTGAGAGAAGGATGGTGAAATCTGCAACCACAATTGTGGGTTTTTCTATTTCTCCTTGTGGTTCTATCAGTTTTGGCTTCATGTGTTCTGAAGCTTTGTTATTAGGTATATAAATGTTTAGAGTGGATATAGCCTCTTGTTGAATTGACCCTTTTATCAGTATGAAATGGACTTCTAAAAAATCCCTGATAATATTCTCTGTTGTGATACCTACTTTGTCTAATATTAATACAGCCCGTCCAGATTTCTTATAATTAATATGGCATATCTTTGTTCACCCTTTTACTTCTAACCCATTAGTGTCTTTATCTTTAAAGTGGTTTTCTTACAGACAGCATATATTTGGGTCTTGTTTGTTTTATCCAGTCTGATCATCTCTACCTTTTAATTGGGATGTTTATTTTTATTTAAGTTGATTATTGATATGGTTAGGTTTAAAATCTATAAACTCACTGTTTGCTTTCTATTTGTCCCTTTTTCCTCTTTTTCTTCTTTTCTGCCTTCTCTCAGATTATTGGTTATGATCCCATTTTATCTTCCCTCTTCACTTATTTAGATATAGTCCCTTGTTTCATTTTTTGAAGGTTTCTTTAGGGGTCATAGCGTCCATCTTTCACTATCAAAGTCCACCTTGAATCGATATAGTACTATTTTACGTATAAGAACCTTAACAAAAGCAGTTTTATTTTTTTCCCCTCCCAGGCTTTGGACTATTGTTGTTATATATTGTACTTTTACCTGTATTAAAAACCCCACATTATGCTATTTTTGTTGCATCAATTATTCATTAAAAATATATAAATAATAAGAAAAAACATTATATACTTAACCCATGTAGCTACCATTTTCGGTGCTCTTCCTTCCTTTGTGTGGATCCATAGTTCTACCTAATATCATTTTCCTTCTGTCTAAAAGACTTCCCATAATATTTTTTGTACTGTGGTTCTACTGGTGATGAATTCTTTCCCATCTTTGTATGTCTGAAAGAAAACTATTTTTTGAAAGATATTTTTGTCATATACAGAATTCTAAGTAGACGGTTTTTCTTTTAGCACTTTAAGTATATTTCTCCTCTGTCTCCTCACTTGAATTTTTCCCATGAGAAATTCATTGTCATCTTATCCTTGATCCTCTGTATGTAAAGTGTCTTTATTCCCTGGCTGTTTCTAAGATTTTATCTTTATCACTGGTTTTGACCATTTTGATTATTATGTGCCTTAGAGTAGTTCTATTTCTGTTTCTTGTGCTTCTGATTCTTTGAGCTCCTTGCATTTGTGGCTTTATAGTTTTCACAAAATTTGGAAAATTCTCATCCATTATCCCTTCAAATATTTTTTTGTCTCCTCCCCTGCCCTTTAGGGACTATAATTGCTAGACAGCTTAAAGTGTTCCCACAGCCCCCTGAAGCTCCGTTCACTACTTTAATCCTTTTTTCCCCCTCTATGTTTCATTCAGAGTGGCTTTGTCTTCAGGTTCATTAGTCTTTTCTTCTATAATGTCCAATATGACATTAATCCTTCCCAGTACATTTCTCACCTCAGCCACTGTAGTTTTCATCTCTAGGAGTTCAATTTGCATCTTTTTCATGTTTCACTTCTCTACTTACAATCTTTAGTTTTTCCTCAAGCAGTTTGAACATATGAAATATGGTTATAATAACTGATTTAATATCCTTGTGAACAAATTCTATAATTGTGTCAGTTCTGGATTGGTTTTGATTGATCGATTTTTTTCTCTTCATTATGCTTCTTTGCATTCCTGGTAATTTTTGACTGGGTACCATAAATTGCAATTTTACTGTTTTTGGTTCTGGCCATAATTTCTTTTTAAATAAATATTCTTGAACTTTGTTCTGGGATGCAGTTGGGTTACCTGGAAACAGAATGATCCTCTCAGGTCTTCCTTTTAAGCTTTGTTAGATGAGACCAGAGTAGAGTTTAGTCTAGGACTAACTTTCCCCACTGTTGAGGCAATACCCTTCTGTATACCTGATGCCCTGTGAATTACGAGATCTACATGGTGAGAATAGGCACTATTTCCTGCCCTTTATGATCCCTGCTGATTGTTCCCTCTAATACTTTCAGATGGTTCTCTCCCCAGACTTGATAGTTTCCTCACCTGCATGCATGATCAATACTCAGCTGAATACTGGAGAGAAACCTTCTTCAGATCTAGAGTTTTCTCTCTGTACAGCTGTTCACTCTCCAGCACCCTGGCTTCCGCTGACTCCCAGTTCCATTTCCTCAACCCAGGGAAACTGCGAGGCTCTGCCGGGATTCCCCTTCCCTGTACCACAACTGGAAACAAAGGAAGTGAACCCTACAATTGCCCCGGGTAATCGTTTAGAAAGATCTGGAAACTCTAGGCAATAAGCTAGGGCAATTGTAGAGTTTACCACATTTGTTTCCTCTCTCTGGGGTAACACTGCCTTCATTGCCTGATGCCTAACGTCTTGAAAATTCTTGCTTTGTATATTGTGTTCGTGTATTTAGCTGTTTCAGGTGGGAGGGTAAATCTGCTCCCTGTTATTTCATCTTGACCAAAAGCAGACGTCTCCTCAAATACTTGTTAAAGAGTGGAGTTTATACAGATGAAAGTATTGTAAAATTATTGGCCCAATATCACATGAATATGGCAAAAATCATGAAAGTGCTTTGTAAATAACCGAAGTCTAGAAAACACAGTACCTGTTCACTCCAAATCATTCACTACACGAGGGAAGTAACTGAGGCCTGCACGGGCCAAGAGATGCAGTGAAGCTCACACAATTCCTTAGTGCGAGAAGTAAAACCAAGTTCATCTTTCTCTCCCTGTGTCCAGTATTCTTGCCAATATTCCACTGTTTCAAGCTACCCCAAACCTGCTCATTAAAAAGGAGAAATTTCATATTCTTATAAAAAATACCTGATCAAATCATAATGCCTTTGTGTTTGGAAGCCATGAAAAACAGCCACTGGTTCAATTTATTTGTATCATTAGAAAAACTTTTTTTCAACCTCCTTATAGACACATTCCTTCCACTGAAGTGAAATACGTTTGCAGTTCACCTGGAAAGGAAAGGATTGCTGTGCCATGTTAAGTGATAGAATCTGACACTGGCTTAAGGCCATTGCCCCTTGTAAACTGCTGTTTTTATGAGGAGCACGACAGGTCAATTACCACAGAAAGCATACATCTGACCACTAGCTCTCCATCTGTACAGGTGCTTTAATCTATTAGGCACCATAGGTTTGATCTTGTGGGGCCTTCAAAATTTCCAAGGATCTGTAGAAATATTAGAGGTATGGGGGAAAATTGATTGGTTCCAAATATTAAAAAGAAAATCACCAAGTTAAAACTAATGTTTTTATCTTTAAAAATGCAACATGGGAACCTGTGACTGCAAGTCAACTCTTACATTTCTATATGCATTTCATTAAATGTGGTTATCAGTTCATTTTAATATACTTGATATGATGTGAGTGAGAAATTCACAAGAGTGCTCACGGCCACTGAAGGTCTTTAAAATACCCCATATTTAGTGACTGAAATTCCAGAGAAGCATTCAGTATTGCTTGTCACCTTTGCTTGGAAATAGTGATGAATTCCACTATATCCAAGTTTAGTTAAGGTTTTTCTTTTTTCATTTTACCAAATGGGAGTGTGGCTTTAGTATTTCCTAATTGGTTTGCATTTTTGCTTGTTAAATTTGCTTTGCCTGTGAGGCCAGTTCTCAAACAAGATCAGAGAAATCTATATCCCAACAGAAACAGGTCTTTTTTTCAGTGATCTTCTGTTGAAGACTTGTAACCAATCTTAATTACCCCATGGCATCTGGAATGCAATAGCATTTATATTTCTTAATTTTTCTAAATAAAATTAAAGCTGCTTCCAACACTCCTTCACCATGGTTAATGAGAAGTTTGTTTAGCAGGGCTTCATCACCACTCTTGGATCTTACAAGAACCCCAGGCGTGTGTCATCCAGGAAAATGGAGGATTACCCAATTGGGATGGAGTTTTTCCTTATTTCACAAACCTTTAAGGACATAAAAAACAACTAGTACTGCTGACAGTCCCTCAAACGATCCTTCACACTCTCACCAAACACAGCCAAGGAAACCTTTTCTGGGACCCCCATGTTTAAGCCGCTTGGTTTCTAGTTCCACAGGCACAGAGTCACTCCCATCTGAGGTTCTGCCACCTCTAGAATACTCCATGGCAGCCACCTCCTGCCTCTGCCCAGCTTCAGGAAAAAACAGCCACACTCCAGGTTCAGGCTTCTTCCTTCTTCCACTCATACAGAGCGTCGAGTCCCCATCTGATTCTTTTTCAGGCAACGTAGCCCATGCCCTTGATGGACCTAGCACAGTGCTTCTCATAGTGTGGTCCAAAGAAAGCTGGTGATCCCTGGTACCCCATCAGATAATCTGCTTGTGCTTTACCAGTTTCAGATGAAAAACAGCATCTAAGCAATTTTGTTCCCATCCACTTCACAAATTGGAAATGTAAGATCAAGTATGAATTTTACAGAAATCCCTTTATCAGGTCCTTAACAATAAGCCCAAGCTTACCATGAAGCCCCTGATGGAATAGGTGCCAAAGGGAATGAGACGAGACAGAGTCTAAGAAAAGACTAGTGTAAGAGCTAAGACTTTGGGCGTCTTGTTGATAGCATTAACTAATGAGAACTCTTCCAGCGGGCTGCCCCATCCTCCTTTAACCGTGTTACTCATATTGCTCTTTGTTTTTTCAGTTTCCCTAATGAATAGAGGGCAAAACAGCTGGAGAAGCAGCCTTATTGCTCAAAAGGAAGTGTTGATACATCTTGGAGCTTTGAGCGTGGGAGATGACGGGCCCAGCTTTATGCCACTTAAAGTGGTAACATGGTTGATGGTAAGTGAAATCATGTAACAGAAATCTACCTTTTTTTTTAAAGCCCCCTGACACTAGTCCTCATGAACATTGTGAGACATTTTAGGAAAAGCTAGGAAATATTTGTAAGAGAGGAGAAGGAGTTTAGTCAGTGGGATAAAAGCAATCTTGTAAAAGCTTAAATTTGCACCTCTTTTCCCATGGTAAACCTTCCCAGGAACATTCAGATTCCACCTAACATATTACAGAAGTATTGGTATATTCCTTTTCTTCCAGACATTAAGGTAACTAGTAGATCTGACGTCAAGAATAATAAACTACCTGCAGAGCAATGCAATACAACCAAGAACAAGATTTTGTTTTTAATTGGGGTATAGTTGTTTTACAATGTTGTGTTAGTTTCTACTGTACAGTGAAGTGGAGTTCCCTGTGTTGTACAGCAGCAGGGAACTCATTAGATATCTGTTTTATGCACATTAGTATATATATGTCAATCCCAATCTCCCAGTTCATCCCACCCCACCTCCCTTTCCAAGCTTGGTTCCATACATTTGTTCTCTACATCTGTGTCTCATTTCTGTCTTGCAAACAGGTTCATCTGTACCATTTTTCTAGATTCCACATATATGCATTAATATACGGTATTTGTTTCTCTTTTTCTGGCTTACTTCACTCTGTATGACAGCCTCTAGGTCCCACCACATCTCTAAAAATGACCCTATTTCGAAGAACGAGATTTTTTAAAAGCTGCTTTCTCCTCAGTTCCCTAGCAAGCGGCACCATAGTCGTCCCTCTGTAACTGCTTTTGCCTTTTTAATCCATCCTATGCAATTAACATCTCATCCTACCCAACTCTGTTCTCTATACTTGATTCTTTAGCACTTTACTTTGTCAGTTTAAAATACAATTAATTATCACATTGTCTTCTCACTAATTGCTATTTGAGATTATTTTGTTTCCCTACCTAAATTTTAAACGTCTTAAGAACAAAAAGTATTGAAACTCTTTGGCATACCATAATAACTAAAGTAGGCATATGTACCTAATAGCTACACAGTTATACAATCAATAATTACTTGACTCTTAGGTTTAAACCACACATCAAAAATAAACAAAATTGCATTACTTCTTAGGGTTTTTCCCCTCAAAATTAGATATAGCCTTAGAGGTACTGCAAAATATTAGATTATTTGTTGTGAAATCTTTTTTTTTTCTTTTAAAAGTCCCTTTTAGACGAAGTGAGAAAGTAGTATTGATATATATACACTACCAAATGTAAAACAGATAGCTAGTGGGAAGCAGCAGCATAGCACAGGGAGATTAGCTCAGTGCTTTGTGACCACCTAGAGGGGTGGGATAGGGAGGGTGGGAGGGAGGCGCAAGAGGGAGGAGATATGGGGATATATGTATATGTATAGCTGATTCACTTTGTTGCACGGTAGAAACTAGCACAACATTGTAAGTCAATTATACTTCAGTAAAGATGTTAAAAAAAAAAGTCTCTTTTAGAAAACACTGGTCAGGAAAGTGCAATACCCCCAGAGAGATGGTGACATCACAGGACAGCAACGCTAAAATGGACTTTGGCATAGAAATGGAATTGCTTTAGTTCTAATTTGAGTTCTTAAATTGGATTGATTCGCTTAAGAAGGATAGAACCATTTCACAGGTCTGTATGGAAGAGTTAAATTTGGGGCAGGTGGAAGACTAACCACACAAAGAACAAGACTAAGGGGCTTCCCTGGTGGCACAGCGGTTGAGAGCTCGCCTGCTGATGCAGGGGACACGGGTTCGTGCCCCGGTCCGGGAAGATCCCACATGCCATGGAGCGGCTGGGCCCGTGAGCCATGGCCGCTGAGCCTGCGCGTCCGGAGCCTGTGCTCCACAACGGGAGAAGCCACAACAGTGAGAGGACCTCGTACCGCAAAAAAAAGAACAAGACTCAGGTCAAAGGTCTTCCTGAGAGAGTCTTCCTCACTCTGCCTGATGAAACCCTTAGTGTCTGTCATGACCTTCAAAGCACAGAAAAGTGCACAGCCCCACACAGGCCCCTGGTCCTATCAGCTCTGTGATTAGAGTCCAGATCACTGAATTGCAGGCAGATGACCTCAGCTGCTGACTGAATCTGTCGGGCTCACTTTTCAGCGTCTTAGAATCCTTTTGTGAATAACCAGAGTCTCCTTCCTTTCCTTCCTATCTGGTGTGCATCACTGACAAATTCCACTTTTCCTCTCTTGAAAAAGACATTCTTCCTCGGCCCTGCCCCTGTGGAAGAACACAAACCACTCCGAGATGAGCTGGTGTGCAGCCTTCATCACAAAACAATAAGTGGTTGACCTAAAGCATCCAATAAAGCAGCTAGAAGGAGAAAAAGGCAGAAAGAATGTGTGCCTTCTTCAGAAGCAATAGTCCCCATCCATCAGCTGGAAAGAAAGTCGGGGACATGGCTTCAAGTTTTCATTAAAATGCAACAGGGCATCAGGAAGTTGGATTTGGACCAACAACGAGATATTTTTCTTACAGTTCCTTTGCTCTGGACAGCTTTGCTGTGGGCTTCAAAGTTCTCTCTCTGACCAAATTCAGTGAAGTTGCTTTCTCCTCTTCTCTTTGAACCCGGAGCTTTGGGAAGGGCAGCAAAGTAAGCCGAAATGGAATTGCAGAACTTATGGTTCTCCAGTAAGTGAGATTTCCTCTAATGCTTACCAACTGTCACCAGGTCAGATGGATTTTTCTGCTTGAAATCCCTTGATGCATTAATTTCTCTGCCATCTTAGGATATCCTTCTGAAAGCAACCCCAGCAGCCATAAAAACATAAAAAGAAAATGTATAGCATAACTGGTGCACAAAAGGACAGTAAGGAATAAAAAGCGAGGAGAGGGCAGGAAGAAAGGTCTTTAGACAAGCATGTTATTTGCTTGGTTTTTGATTCAGAGGGCAATTCACACAGAGCTCTACTCAGACCCACCAGGAAATGCATGAGGTGCTGGGTCTGGGTCAGCCAAACAAGAAACCCTGGAAAGCAGCTGTATATGCTCTTTTCTTGATTCATCTAGTGCAGTGACTTTTTAAAAAAAAAACCTTTTAAAGCAATGAAACCACAGTATATAAAACAGCTGACAGTGGGTCTCTCTCCTCGGGAGCAGCATATACGAGCTTCCAAACAGGTGTGGGGTTGGAGGCGTGAAAGTCACCGTTCTAGGGGGTTTTAATAATCCAGGAAGTGGCAACACAGGATTTCATTTTTTTGAATACAGAGGGCTGACATCTAAGTTAGAGGGCAAGAAGATATTCTCTCTAAGGCAGTCATGTACAGTTTCTTATTCTTTCTGATTTCTTGAGCTAAAAATTAGCATCACTTTTAATAGATACCACAAGTCTTATCACCCACCATCTAACTGCCCTCATCTTCCTTCCTTCAAAACACATCTCAACAGATATTTATTGAATGTCTCTAGTGTGCAAGGTGCAAGGCACTAGCTGGTTATTAAAAATATAAATAAGGACAGTAGTATTAGTAGCAGTAGTAGTAGTGGTAATAATAATAATAGCAAACACTTCTATAGTATTTATTTAGTGCCAGGCACGGCTCTAAGCTCTTTATATGTATTTAGTCATTCAGTCATCGAAACAACACTCTAGGAAAGATATGATCATTATTTACAATTTACAGATGGGGAAACTGAGGCACATAGAGATTAAGTAATTGGCCGAGGTCCCATATCTAACAAGTGGCAGAGCTGAGATTAGAACCCAGGCATTCTGGCTCCTGAATCTGTGCTTTAGGCATATTTGCTTTATGTGCACTGTCCTTGGGGTTTATTATCTATGCTGCAACAGAGAAGTTTCTGCTCCTAGAGCTTTCAAAGTCTATCTGTCTCCTTTTTGGAACTCAGTAAAGGACTGTGGACAATGTATACATGGGAAAGGCTAATGACATCTGGGGACATGAGGGGAGAGAGGGTTGTGGGACGAGATCAGATATCTTGCTGATTAGGCAGGCAGGGGCTTTGGAGCATCGAGAATCAAGCTATTACTACAGATGTGACACATGTACAACCATCACTGTGTGAAGCCTGGGACTTACAAATTAACATATATAACATTTGAATTTTAGTCCAAATAAATATACAGTCTGTTATCTGGAAAGGAATGATGACAGAGTTATATTTCAGTAGATAGATCTTTGGGGCCTCTGTAATTCATACTCTTCCATCTTTCTTAATTTGGCAAACATTTATTGAACATTGTCATTCTTTATTTTCTTTCCCCTAAACAACCACTGAATTATCTTGGGAATATGAGCCAGTTAAGAGTTATTGCAGGCCCAGAGAATAACAGGTCTCTGTTATTGGAGCAGTATATTCCATATTCCTGCTCAAACACAGACCTTCATGCCATCTAAGACTAGAAGGAGAACCAAGTGCAAGAGAAGACAGTTCTTTATTACTGAGCACAGTACATTTAACATAATAGGATATTACTGGTGGACTGACTGCTCTAAAGCAGAGGTACTTAGATAAGGTCTCCAGCCAGCTCTCAATGAGACAGATATTATAGGTGGGCTGAACCAACACCCATTCCCAACACCTTTATCCCTTGTCAACCTCTATCATGGAAAGTAGGAAAGCTAAATACTCATTTTACCCACTTCCCTTGCATAATGGACATGTGATGAGACTCTGGCCAATACAATGTAAGTGGAAGTCTGCTAAGGGGTTTCTGGGAAAGATTTTGCATTTCTGATTAAAAGGGACAATTGCAGTTGGCATCATCGTCTCCTCCTTTCTTCCTGATATGAATGTGGAAGGGCTGTCTAGAGCAGCAGCAGCCATCTTGCAAGTAGGTGGAAATAACTATGAGAACAAAAAGGATACAAAGAAATTGGATCCAAAATGGCATTGCTGAGCGTTAAAAAGAGCAATGGTTCTACCTCTACCTTTCTTGTTATGTTAGATGCTATTTAGGCTACTACTCGTTGAGTCATCTCTTCTTACAGCCAAACACATTCTTAGCTAATACA